TTTTTTTTTTTTAACTGTTCATTTGTTACGCTGCTATCAGTAGGCACGTCGCCATGATCACTTATTTCCGTACAATCGCGCTTTTGGTGACGAAAGTCTTTTGTCCGCAGAAGGGATCTGTAGCACGTCTCTCGCGAGACGCCGTAGTTCCGACAGCGCCGATCGTGGTTCAAATGATTGCTGTGTAAATAGCCAAACGTTGCATTTTGTTGTCTCAGAAAGCGGGTAAATCACGACAATGTCGATTCAAGCCTCAAACCCCAACAACCCGGTTGTGTTCTTCGACATTACCATTGGAGGGCAGGTGAGTAGCATCATAAAGACACTTTGAAGCTAACCGGGCAACGTTACCGCGTCACATCAGTGGCAACAATAAAGTTCATAGTCTGGTTAAACCCTGTTAAACGAGCTTGTTGTAAAACATACACACCTGATGTACGTTATATACAATAAGGCTGGCAAAACCTTTATAATCCTTTTCATTATATACGGGTGAGTTTGTTGAACTAATGTTGACGCGGACAGAGAAAGCACGTTGACTTTAAATCGAAGATATCCCGATGTTGTTCAAAAGAATAACCCTCGCAACTAAATGCATATCAGTATGGTACGATAAATTTGTTATGTGACTGTTATTCATCTATTGACACCGTGGAAAAGGCTGAATTTGGAAAAATGACTTTTTGAAAACTTTGTCTCTCACACGCACACTTATATAGACCTGGTGTGTATATAAACTTGGGGATTATCCTGTAACAATGCTTCTTGGCCTATTTATTTTCACTTAAATGGTACCACATTTGTGATTTGAGAAGGAGAATTGTGTATGTGGGTTGTGCCCATTAAAATCTTTTCCAATGCCAAATATCTTATTTGCGTTTCACTTTTATTTAGTGTCATTTATCAGATTGGATGATTAAAATCTGAAGAATCAATACATCCTGGCAATTTAACAATTTATTCATTGAACAAACAGCAGCCTCAGTATCATGTGGAAGACCCATACACAGCCACACCAACCTGGCACCTCCACCTCATGGTGGTCACATACTGTTATGCTATGGTGACCGGTAAGGAAATGGTCTTCATGTGGTCTTGTTGCCCTCAGATGCACACTTCGCCACCGTCTCTGTCATCCCCCGTTATACGGATCTTGGCCTTCAACTTGGAGATGGTAGGGGGCTAGGGCTCACTCCAAGTATTGCTTGTTTTGCAGAACGCCATCTTGAAGTTGCCATATCTAGAGCAGTCAAACACAGCATGCTTGGAAAAGACAACATCTGATCACTGTTCTTGCTTATGGGTGCTTCTAATCATTTGCCCATGGCACCTGAGTGCCAGCACCTCCTTTACCTGAGAATCAAAACTAGAATCAATAGCAGAATAAGCTGTTTGGCATTGAAAAAGAAGACATACTCTACCTGCTGCTCAACCCACAAAAGCATTTTCCTTATAGATGTGGCACCATTTAAGGGCAAATAAACAGGATTTCTGACAGTTTAAGATTTAGTGCCAAAAAACATCATTACAACAAAGAAGTAATTGACCAATCACAAATATTGTTTGTGCAAAGTTTATATATGTATGCGTGTGTGTGTGTGTGTATTGAAATACAAGTATTTATAAATTAATATGTATTTTACTTCTTTCTGCATCAAGTGTTATTGGCATTGCCATTCAAGCTTACATTATGCATTAATGTATTTTTAGACAGATTTATTTAATATATTTTTAGAGTTTTAAAAAGAAGTAAATAGTCCTGAAAGTCAATATTATTTTTAGCTTTTTTCTGTGGTGCTTTATGAGCCTGCCCCTTAATAACTAATAGGTGGAAATTTGATCCCATGAGCTCCTTTAAAGACACCGCCCCCAGTTGCATAATGAAGCAGGAACAATGTAAAAAGAAATTAGAGAAAAGATAAAAAGACAAAAGCTATTTAAAACAGAGAGACCAAGAATTATTTTCTGTTTATCTTTAATTTTTCATTTTGGTTAATGATGGTTTATTGTCTCAGACTCTCGCATTGATTAGTCATATTTTTTTTTCTTTTTTAATGAAAGTGACAGAAGTTCCCTTTAACATTAAAAATGAACCCCTATTATCATAACTTACCTTTGTAAGCATTAAAATAATATACAGACTCTAAGTACCATATTATGTTAACATGTTTGTTAAGTCCTCTTTTTTTTAAAATTCATTTTCTTGAATTTTCTAGTTGAAGATTGTTCCATATTTAGGTTTGCTTAAGACTTTGAGGAAAAAAATATGTTAGCCTAAGAAAGGAGAATGTCAGTAGTGCTAGTAGCAACTGTTTTTACATAGAATGGTGGTGCTATGAAGTTTGAACTACGTGTACCAGCATATTGTAGTTTTCAGGACACATCTGTCATCTAAAATAATTACAACAAAAGAAAAAAGTCTTCATGAGACCCCTTTACTCATAATAAACAGCCTTATTATTATGATATGGTTAAGTAAAGAAAAGATATATTTTAGTTACAGCCAATTACAAAATGTCAGTGTTGGTGTTGCAGTGCGTTCAGTTGTGTTATCTCAGCTTCGTCAGCAGATGGCGTCAGTGTCGGATTAAAAGCTTAGTTTTAAGTCAAGTTTATTCTCCAACTTGGAAATAACATATGATGGAAAAAAAGATTACATCCATTGTAGCTGCTGATCATATTTAATGATGTTCATGAACATCCAGAAGAAACTTTGTACCTTTTTGATTTGTACAAAACAGTCAAGCAGTAGGAGTGGTAAGAGGAAAAAGAAGGTATTGTAAAATAAAATTTTATGATGCCACCTGATTCTAACAGAAGAAGGAATAAATTTGAATCAATCATTCAGTCATAGCATCAGGTGTATAACTTAGAGTAGAGTAGACATTTACTACAGCATTGATACAGGTGAAACTTTCTTAGTGGCTCATCACATCACGTTTCTTGTAGTGTAGACCAGGGGTGAATTGCCATTCATACTACACCAATTTACTAATAGATAAAGAAGAGAAAAAAATTACAATTACAACAACTATTACGAAGGGGCCACGGTTACATAAAATGAAAAAGAAACAATCCAAATACAAAAACCAAAAAAACCCCAATAAACCAAGAAGCACTCAGCGTGGAAACCGTCACCAAGGCAGCTCACACTCAGTATTTACTTTTATTAGAATAGTATTGTATTTTGTGTAATATATTATTATTTATTTTTTTATTCTTTTTTTTTTTTTAAATTTGTAAAGTACTTGCTTTAAAACATAGTATAGCAAATATAATATAAACTTATGGTAACCGATATCGCTTATGCTGGCAATGCAAACAGTGGCTGTAAGATATTTTAAAACGGCCTTTAGCACTTTGACCTTCAGATGAATCTATTTACCTTAAAGATGATGTCAGAGGTCAAATGTAAGTTAGTTTTAACCTTTTTTGTTGTTTGTATATGTTTGCAATACACATCACGACTTTAACAGTCATAGTTTCTAAGTTATAAGTCTGTTTGGCAATTTTTGACCAATAAAACATTAAGCTGACCTTGAATAGCTTGGTGGATATAAGTCAGATTTGAATAGATTGTTAATAGGACCTCGTTCTAGACCCACACAAAGTTTGTTATTCAAAGCTTTTTCAGCCAGTGTGTTTAAAGACAGAATGATGCTTACACACACAAACATTATCAAAAACCTAGATGGGGGTAAAAATTACACTTTCTTTGAATTAACATAAACTCTGTTTATAATTACAGGACAGTCTGACCAATGAGCTGCCAAAACCCTTTCTGTAATGTTATACATTTCTTACACGTTAAGTCCAGCTGTGTTGACAGATTTATTTTATTTACTACAGCAATATTTCTTTATCATATAGAAAAACTTGTCTCATGCATAGGGATTCGATGTACTTAGCATCAAAGTCTGCTGTATGTGGCCCACATTGTACAATGAGTTTGACTTTCCATCTAGGCTTGTGATGTCTGTTACTTTCAGGTTTTTTCTTACACATTGTAAGTATTTCTCTTCTCTTTTGATGGGTTGAGCTCAGGAACCATCAGCTTGGGTTGCATTTCTGTGCTTATATGCCAGTAAATGTGCCATGAGCACAGATTTTCTGGTAAATTGGTGTGTGGCCCTAGAGTCTTGCTCTTTACCCAGAATAGCACACCCAGCAGTAAACTGTTGGTGCATTCCAGCCACAACAGGTTAACAGAGATGTATGCAGGTACTCCAAGGCCAAAAACCAAACAGGCCAGAGACACAGCAAGAAAAGGCATCCAGAATGTGGCAAAGCCCAGTATTAGACTGATCCAGAGAGGCGGTCGATGGTGTGTGTGTGTGCGTGCGTGCGTGTGTGTCAGGTAACTCTTTTCATCACCTTTTGTCTCTGGGCAGAGGGTTGAAGTGAGTAGCAAGTTGTTCCCCACCTTCTCTTGTTCTTCCTCTGCTTCACAGAACTTGTCAGCATCTCGTACCCACTGGGGAATATGTGAGCAAAATGGTAGCAGTGCTAAAAGGATTGCAGTGAAAATCCCAGCAATGAAGTTGATCACCAGTTTTGACTCCTCCACTTCACACACCAGAGCTTTCTTCAACCTTTTGCCGCAACTCATATCCATCAGTTTAACATCAGCATGGCTAAAAGAGAACATAAAAGCTAGCAGCCACACGAGAAGTGTCAGGAGTATATTTCCGAGGGTTTTTAAGAAGGCTCTGCCGTTGCTAAGAGCTTTGTCTCTTAAGAGGTAGTCCATTAAACTCAGGCATATCATGGGCAGTGGTAATGCTGCATATGTTGCTGAGGCATTAGTCAAAATGAGGCAGGGTGTAAATGAGTGGACAGGACCCAGTAACCACAAAGCTGCCATTAAAATGGTCATCACCCAGTCAGCCAGTATGATGGACAGGCTGCACACACTCATAAAGATGGTGTACCGTTTTTGACACCATAAATAAAAGATCACTGTTTCCAGGCCTGCTTTGGAAAGTAAAAGTGAAACATACTTTCCAGTGTTGTCTGTGTGACTGGCAGACATGCCCTCCCATTCATGTATAATGGCCAGCATTCTGAAAGTGTGGCTTGTGTCAAACAAAGATGGCAACTCTGGCAGCATTTGACTTGGACTGCAGTGTTCAGATGTTCCAGGAAATTCTGTGAAAGACAGCAGAAATTGTATAGACATGATGAAAGCTTATACGGGAGAAAAACCCCCACAAAATAGCTTTTAGCTGTGAGTGCAAGGTGAGAAACCACCTATTTTCTGACTCTTCTAGGGCTTTTGTTCTAGGGCTACAGCTATTGATTATTGTAGTTATTGAGTATTCTATCAATTAATCAAGTCATCTGATAAGAAGTACTTTTGCCTTTATTAATGAACAATCGTAAATATTCACAAGAGAAAAAAACTACTTTGATTTATCTCATTTTGATGTCTTTTTTGTTTGTTTTTTGTTAAGCCTACCATGTCTGCAGGTTTTATAATCAGAATTACGATCTGAATGCGAAGTTGTGACAAACACATTAGCGAGGATTAGAGGACTTACAGAGCTCACCAAGGTGAGCTCTGTAAGTCCTCTATATGCTCCTCTTGTTTGTTTCTGTTTCTGTTTATTTATTAATTTCTATTAGTTTTCTGTTATTATTCTGG